CAACTAATTTTGAGGCGATACACTAACTTATCGATTAGATCAGACAAAAATTATGCTTCATTTTATGACAAACTAATTAGAATTGAAAATATATATATATATATATATCGGCTGAAAAAGTGATTCCAAATTCATGATTGGCTTATATTAAGTTACTTACTTGTAAAATTGTTATTCCCAAATGAATTCATTTTAATACATAAAATCATTCAGGTTTAAATTGTGTTCTTAAAAAAAGAGATTGGGTGAAATCATTTCTCTGACAAGTCATTTTCTGTAAATATAAAACTAATTAATCTATGAAAATTCAGTTTGATTACGAGCAACAACTAAAATGCTAAGAAGTCTTGAATAGTGACATCGATTAATTGTAAAATCACGTACGTAAAATCAGTTTGATGTAGATAACATCAAAACAGAAATACTCACACACAGTAAGTATAATTACAGTCTTGAGAGTAGATAAACATTTAACCTATTCATCAACATTACAGTTATCGAATTTTTCGAACTAATTCGCATTATTTAAATTGTAATGATCAACATTCGTAAGAGGTGTCGGTTCATTTAAACATGTTTTCGTACATAGACTATTGATGTGAATACAAGTTGTTTTATCAGGCTGTCAAAACTAGATCGAATAGACGTTGTAATCGTACTGCATAACGTTTGTATTAACACGTGAATAGATAACTCTTCCATAAACATATGATTCAATTTTATTGTTGTCAGATAAGTCATTGTTTTTTTATTGATTGATAAACATGGCTGAAATAAATACCTCGAAATTGACATATTCAACTAATGTCTCTTATATACCAGTGGACAAATATGTATTTTTAATTGGCTTTGTTAAAATTCCCTATATAAAAACAATGAATATGTTAAAAAGGAATTTTCTTCCGTAATTACAGATAGTGCAAACCCATTGAAAAGAAAAGAATCAAGGAATCATTAAATACGTTTCTCAACAAAAAAAGTATTTAGGATCTATGCACTTTTATTTCATTACACCCTTACTCAATAGTCAAACTTAAAGAGATCCAATTAAAGAGAATTGGGAAATAGTCATATTTATCAAAAGTTTTCCATTTATGAATAATTGACAGAAACATCCGATACAACATAAACGTGATATAATAAAAAGTAACTGATTCGTCATGAGTTATGATGTTGAAAAAAAGGAATCATGGTGGGCGGCATTAAAGTAAGATCGTCAAATGATATTAGTATAATACTCTTTCTTTTTTGTACTGATCGGAATTAGTCAGTTGTATTGGAAGTGAATTGAAAGTTGTTTGATCTCTCTATTTTACAAAAATAATTCAATCAACAATCTAATTTAAAGATTACTATTATTTTTATAGGCGAATGAAAGACTGAAATAATAAGAAAGTGGGTCACTTGCCTACTATATATATATATATATATATGTAAGGTCAACAGGATACTCTATTTACTTTGAAAAATGAGCAATAAAACATAAAAGAATAAAAATGGCAAAGAACAGAAAACAATTTTATTATTAAAATTAGATCGCTCAAGGGTAAAAATTATAAAATAATCAATAGATGAACTAGCTGGACAGCAAATGCATTTATCTTTAAAATATTAACTGTAATAGGATTGTAAATATATTGGTATGTTTCCTAGAAATTATCATGTTTAGGCATATGCAAATAGCTTCTGCTAGAAAAGTTCTGGACAGTGTTTTTAGAGGGTGGTGTTGTTTGAAAAATGATAGAATAGTAAGCGATCACCTGGCGAGTCCACTTGGAAAGGTTGAATAGTTTTGATTCCAAACTGATGGTGTACAATCAGTTTCAAAATCCTGGCGAAACGAATGATATAGAAACCCCTCCTAACCCAAGGTTCCATTAGACAGCACCAATGGACATTGTTCTATTATCTTATCGATCAGAATTCTAGACTTAAGGCTATGGGAATAACCCCAAATAAAATAGCCATTTTAAGTTTGGCTGCTCAGGTAGAAGACAGCAGAATCCTTATTGTTGTTAGCACCAAGTTGCTGTAGGTTTTATGTAAATCAAATCAAACCAATAGAAGTAGACATTTAAATATTCAGTGAAACTATAACGCATTATACTCGGGAATTTGAAATGGAAGCTAACAATGCAATCAAGAAATGATACTATGATTATTATTATTATTATCATCACTTTCTGTCTAAAATGACTACTCTCTATTTATAAAATTGTTGACTACCGAAATGTATCCTTTGATAATAATGCTGTACTCGAAAAAAAAATGCTTTTTCCTTCAAAAATACGCATTTTACCATCTTTTTGATCAATTTTTTAGTTAGAACAATTTATGAATTACGTCATTTTACATAATGTATCGTTATTTTTAAAAAAATATCCTATTCATTTTTTTGAATTAATCTTATCATATCTCTAAGCTGATGACCATTCTATGATTGTTTTCGAAATATATATATTTATCCTGATTTTAACGTAAATCAAAAATTTAAGCTGAAGAGTTAAAAACTAATAATGTTAAAAATAATTTCCTACCTAGGAAAAAGAACTATCTAATCTTTTTTCATATGAGTTAGCATTTTCATCTAACTGAGAATAATTTTTCAATTAGAGTTATGGAGATTAGTGTATTTTACACAATGAAATCATCAATCAATCATTGTTAGACCACTCTGGTCAGAAACCTGGTCGGGAAAATTCTGTAGATTGGTCAGAGTTAGATATTAACACCTTTTGGATGCCGGCGCAGTGGTCCGGAGGTTAGGCGCTCGCGCGCAAGACCGAAGGTCCTGGCTTTGAATCTGTGAGGTGCAGTAGTCGTGAATATGCACTGCTGATGTATCCCATACAAGGACAAGGCGGCCATCTTTCAGTGCTTCCAGATTTCTAACGGTGTGATAACAATAATTGACTGATGATTTCTATTTGAGAATACTTTTATAAATTTTAAGAAAAAAAAAATCATTTTTGGTGGAATTTTGCAAAACAGCTACTTGAACAATAAAACAGAAAATCGTAAAAATTTACAATGAATGTTTTATTGAAAGTAGTTTATTCGAAAAAAACACATTCAAATTATAAATCTTTCTAAAATATTTTTATTTAATAATTGAACATTTTAAATGTTAAATTTGTAAAAAACGGAAATGAATACGGTAATTATGCTGAAGAATAGATGAATGAATTCCTTTAAAAAAAATAATCTCTCTTTAGAACATACTCGAATAATTAATTTTAAATAATTAGTCAGATTTTTTTTTATTTTCAAAATAAATTTTAATCGAACAATAAGAAGGTAGAGTTAGTTTGAAAACTATGAAATAATTGTTGTATTTTATTTCGAAAAATCTGGTCTTACATAAATTTGTTAACGTGTTTATTTGTAAAAACTATTTATTACACGTATATATTAAATAAATATTCAATGAAACATAGAATGATAATTTTTTTTATCATAAATGAAGAACCAATTGAAAATCATCTTATTTCAGCCTAAATTTTACGCATAAATGCGTTGATAAATGCGTGTGTCAAGATTGCTCGAAATAATGTATCAAGAAAATAGATAACCTTTTTTTCTCTACAAAATCAATTTTATTTAGTCTTTTCTTATTGTTCTAACAAAATAATTCTAATAAATTATTTGTTTATTTTTCAAATTACATAAGCCACAAAATAAAAAAAAGATTTAATAAATAAGATAATTTAACAATAATCATGACTGACCTCGATTCTCGGTCATTTAGACAAATAGAAACGTGTTTGGTCAATGAAATGTTATAGTGAAAAAAAGCATGAAAAAATCTGCACATCTGGTTTAAGTGAACAGTCGCAGAAATGACTTTAATTTGTAAATGTTTTCTAAATAAAAAAAACTGTATTTACCATCTTCTACCTAATTAGCAATAGACTGATATGATTTTGTAAAATGTTTAATGTATTTATTTACAAGGAAAAAGGGATATACCATGCTGATTGATATTATTACTGAATAAACAGGGTAATTCTACATGAGTACTTAGTTCATTGTCACAGACTCTAATATTTTTTTGAACTCATTATTGAGAATTCAGTTAAGCGTAGAAAACATGAGTTATAACTATACATCATCTTAACAGATATCTTGAAACGTTATCGACGCACGGTAAATAATTGAGATGACAACTTCACCTAACACATATACATGTAATAGATACTTTGTAAAGTATTCTGAATTATTTTATAGATGCGAGACACGTTTTGATCAAACTACGCTAGGATGAAAGACGTCTACTGCTGACATTTCTTTAAGATGTTTACGTAATAAATGGATATCTTGCTTACGCCACAAGTGACAAACATACCCATACCGAGATTTCATCACCTACCAGGCTATCAGCACTGATGAGACTTCCAAAATAAGGCAAGCAACCGACACACCTTACTACTTCACTCCTTATCCACTAGTTTAGACGCCGACGTAAGTCACTTTTGGAGTATTACTTTGTATTTGGAAAGGGAAAATCGCATCTTGAACATGCTTGGATCGTCGCTTAGAATGGTCAGAAGAGTGTGTAGTTTGTCAGCGTCTTCCCTAAACAGAACTATGTCATTCGCACAGTTAATGACAATACAAATAGAGAAGAGTAAATTCGTGAGAAGAAATTTATATCGCAATTTTAAAATTCAATATTTAATGGAAGCTAAATTATAAATGCTCCGGTTGTTGTCATGTCACTCAAATTCTCCACCTATCAATTACGAAAATCGCACTATATTCATTATATTTAGTACGAGTAAAATACACTGAGCAGTAGAAAACTGCCAGTTTTTAAATTCTAGTAGTTAAGTCCAATCTAGTTAAATTTTCTTGATAAACTTGATGAAAGAATTATTAGTAAATAACAATAATAAACAAATAATACATGAATTTTCAAATAAAAGAGGTTTGATCAATTGCAATTTTTAATTAATTTACTGTAATAGAAAAATTTGACATGTCACTTTGAATGAACTTACATTGTAACTTCTTTTGGATTGATTTCATCCGTTGGTGGTAGACCAAGAAATGCACCAATTTTTGAACGACATAAATCAGTATTATTTTGAATAAATTTCGAGATTTCTTGACTAGAAGATAAGTTTAAGAAATGATATCTTGCCAAGTATTTAAGACCTTTTAATGGATTTCTACAAAAAAGAGAAGTAACATGTATTTGTTATTCTAATGGTGGCATTTATTTATGAAACAGTTTGAAAAAGAATTTACAAATTTGGTACGCAAAAACATTATAATTTCATTCATTTATATGTTAATACAATTTCATTTGGAAAGTATAAGTGAATAAGTAACTACTGAGATTACAGAAAAGTCAAAGTTGAAATCAGTCGAAGATCGAAATAGCTTAAGTTTATATTGTATACGTCACAGATGATTATAACAAAAACTGATAAGTAATACATCTGACAAAGTTAACACCTCTTGCAACCACAAACACACCGGGACTTTCAGAAGACAATTTATACATCTAAGTATAGAAACATTCAAAGCTTACACTAGAAGATATTTAGTGAAGTAGTAAATATTTGTTAGAGACCAGAAAAACAGTTTAGCACTGATCAAATTAAACAATCAACTGATTAGGGGATTAAGGGGTCAGATAGTAATTCGATGAAAGAAATATGAAACTGGTTGGTAAAACTTGTATTTATTTATATAAGACTGGATGATCGATATAATAATACGGCTACAAGTTAAACGAATAAGCCATCACTTGGTTGGTGATATCCATGGTGTTAAATTTTATTTAAATAACAGTAGTCAATAACAATGCAAATGTACATTGTTGACAACAAAGCGTATAATGATATTTCGGTGCAAATAAGTTTATGTAATGAAGAAAACTTTGAAAAATGTTTTCAATCCTACAGCTAAATATTGTGTTCTTGATAGGGTCGGTGATGAAAACGATTTGAAATATTCTTATAAAATTATTCCAAAAATATGATAGCCAATTATTTGGATGCAGTATAGGTAAATTTAGAGCATTCTTCGACACACTGTGTACTTGAGAAGATAGTCTATGTCATATCTTAATCTTATGACGAACTGCGCTGAAAATCGGTTCACAAAGGGCGGCTCACAGATTTATTCCACATGAAGACTGATGTCAGACGGGGTTGCTCACTCTCACCCTTTCTATTTCTCCTGGTGATCGACTGGATTATGAAGACATTAACATCTCAGAGCAAGTAATGGATACAATGAACAGCTCGAATGCAGCTGAACGATTTGAACTTTGCAGAGGATTTAGCCGTTCAATTCCACAACAACAAATGCGGGAGAAGACGATCAGTGTAGAAGTAGCCTCTACAGCAATAAGCCTCTAAATACACGAGTGAAAAAGCAAGATCCTCCAATATAACATAACATGCATGTTTATATCTTTGTCAATATATGTGCATTTATTGTGGAGACTGACTGAATTTTAGAATGGAATACTCAAAGGTTTACCAATAGTAACATAAACGTCATACTCGATCAACAGGTTAGCGAACTATCTGTACTCAGTAGCTTAATGGATAATGTACTGGCATCAGAAGCACCGGACGGGTGAGGTCACGCAAAATCCTTAGATCAATCAAAGTTAGACATTACCACTGTTGGATACCGGCCCAGTGGTTCAGAGCTTAGGCGTTCGCGAACAATACTGAAGGTCCAGATTTCAGATTCTGCAAGATGCAGAAGTCGTGGATGCGCACTGCTGATGAGTCCAATACCAGGACTTGATGGCCATCTTTCAGTGCTTCCAGATTTCTAATGGTGGTCTAACAATGACTGATTGATGATTTCAAATATATACACATGTTAACAAACATTGATTGAATTTCAGTCTTCGATTTCGACAACAAGATAACGCATTCCTTACTAATGATAACATCAATATGATGATTGAAATACAGTTCTAAGGGATGTTCATCAACTTTTCATTGTTGATTGATAATCATAGATAAATTCAGAGCTTCAATTCCAACGCAATTGAAAATAGCATAAGTTAGAACACACACAGTTTGTTGAGAAGTTTATATTAGATTACCGCTATTATTATTATTATTATTATTATTATTATTATTATTATTATTATCATGAACTACTTACCGATTAAATAAATTAATGCCTACAGCATAAATATGTTTACGACAATTGAAACATTGATCAGGTTGAAATAATGCAGTGATTGATTTTAAAAAACAATCATGTTTGATAAAATACCAAGCATTATTTGCATTATGATAACATTTAGTTAAATTATCAATATATGTATAATTACATGGTTGTGATAAATAAAATTGCCAATTTAATATACATGCTTCACAGAGATTATGCTGTTGTTGTTGTTGTTGATTGATTGAATGATTGAATAAAAATTGATCAGAATGATTTGTTCCATTGTGATTAGTATCATTCTTCATAAGAATGGTATTTGCATTTGCAATTTTATTGGCTAAATGTTTGTTTTTTTCATTTGCATAATCGCCATCACCAGCATCATCATCATGATCATCATCATCTTTTTTGATTTTAGTTATTTTGACGGATTTCGAATAATGGTGTAGTTGTTGTAATTGTTGAGATTGTTGTGTTTGTTGTGCAGGCAGTTGCATATTATCCTTAATCATCGGTTGTAGTGTGTTTGATTTACGTTTCCATATTGGTGATAATGTTAAATTAGGATCCTGCTCAATTTGTTTTTGTTCAGCCAGAAAACATGACTAAAATAAAATTATGAAATCGTCTCAATTGTTAATTTTAATTATTTCACATAATTATATGACTGAGAATAAGTTTTATCATTCAAAATAGTTTTCATCAAAGATAGACATCATTAGTTAAAATATTATTACAAAATGAACTGTTTAAAGTGTTAAGACAACAAAAAAAGAATGCAACTACACCCATCAGATTGAACATAGGACCTATAAATCTATAATTAATTTAGGATTATGTGATAAACATTGTCATCGTTGTCTAGTCTTTTAGTACTCAGTGAGTTCCGTGAATAAAGTAATCGATGATTAGAGACCCTGAATAACATGGCTCAAAACCGTTTGCAATGGCGCAGCTGCATTTACTCTCTTTGTTCTCTCAAATCCTAAACTTTTTACTTATTCATCACTTATCTTTTTAAGTCTATTTCACTAGATTCTATTTCTTGAATAATATCTTCAAAACCTAACCTCTCCGACTATTGCTAATACCTTTACTATCTCTACTACTATAGGATTTGAAATGACAATTACATTTCTGTGCTAATGTGGTATGGCAACATGAACTGATGTACTTACGTACGAAGTTCTACGTTGCTATTGATTGATTGATTGATTTGTAAATAAAGTTGCAAGATGAACACTGCTCTAAGTGACTCGATGTCAACCATGATGGGATTGGCTTTCTCTATTAGATTCGAAACCATGTCAACCGGCCTTACAGTTTGTAATGGTACTGTTAATCTATTCGGACAACATGTGACCTACAAGGCTAATAATACGGGGCTCGAATAACCCATTATTAGCATTTCAATCTATGAAACTGAGTGATACGAGATTGAATCTGTCAGGAAGCATATGTTTCCTCAGAATAACAAGCATACCTTCTTGGCGAGTATTAAGTGGCACAGAACCTAACAGGCAGAGTTTTTTCATGACTGTCTTTAGACACATGACATCTTCCAGTCTTTCAATGGTTAGAATACTTTTAAACTAGTAAATGAGGGCAGATGGTCTCCATTTCGAAATTAAGTCAGTTCAAGATATAAGAGTGATCATTAAGAAACGTTAATGTTCCTTGTCAAAATACATATTATTATTATTCACAGTTTTATTTTATAGTGCGATAATTTTCATTTAACTTCTGACTACTTTATTCCTTAAACATGTACGAAATCTCGATTGGTCAACAACTGACACTGTTTAATACCTTAAAAACCATTTTTGGTCCAAAAACAAAATGAGATCAACTAGGAATAATACTTTAGATCATAATAAAAATTGTCAAGCTTTGTATGTTACCATGTCATTATTTATAATAACCACTAAACAATCTAATATTAAACGAGTAAGAATCAATTAATCATATAATTTTCCACTTTATTATCATGATTTGTTTCTATAAATTGGACTGTTTTCATCAAGCATTAATTAGTAACCTTCCATACATGGTGATATATTATCCATTTGCATATATTATCTACTGGCATAGATATCTATCAAAATCAATCTGTCCTCAAAACAATCAGGCATATATTTGACGATAGATCTGATAATGTCATTTATGTTGTTGTTCCATGCTCTGAAATAAGATTACTCTTCTATACACAATTCATTTGTTAAAACAAGAAGAATCTGTTCTGCCAGTTCTTAAACTCAGTGTGCTGTGTGACGTTTATCGTTTCAAAACGCCCAAGGGATTGTAACTTTGTCATTTATCTAGCGTACTTAACTGTATTCAGCTTATTTTTAAAAAATCTTCTCAGATTGACTATTTAACCTGTAAGATTATGTGTTTCAATGAAAACTAGGCATTCAGTTATCATTCAAGATAATTTGACTCTAAGAAAACTTGAGAAGAAACAAATAACCTTAAATTTTGTATGTTATGGATGTTTGATATCTAAGCAAATATGAATTCAGATTTTTAGAAAATTATTTTTATCAATTAATTTAGTCCATGAATTCATACTTTCTTCTTGAATCCCATTGTCTGTATCTAATCTGTTCAACTACTACTGAAACTTTTACTGCTTATACTACTCTGGCATTTATCATTACCATTTCATTTTTATTGCACTGATCCAATCAAGGCATTTTGAATAGATGCGTCTGTATACCATATGCCCGTATAATTGATTGATTGATTGATTGATTGACTGACTGACTGACTTAAATCATAATTTAGTCTGAAGGAGAATGCAAATATACTAAACCAATAATAAAACTTTCAGATTCAGTATGCCAATTAATGATGAAAAGTTTTCTGCTTGAATTTTTAAATAAAAAACAAATCAAATAATTTGTTGCAAATTCCCTGAATCAAACTTTATTCATATTTGTCGAGAATATTATTGATTTGTTTCATATTAGATCAACAGTTACAAAATGTTACGCTCGTCTCTAGGTATGCTTAAAACTATTACGGGTTCACTTAAGTCGAATAACGAGAACGAAACAATGAACTAGCGTCCAGGTAGGCTGCTGTGATCTCTTAACCAAAAGGTATCATCAAGAAGTCTTGATATAGTGTAGAAAGTGTATTCTACCAACACCCAGCCAGCATACAATGAATCCAAGCACTCAAATCGCGTTTATTTATACTCCATAGAGACGTCCTTGTGGAAGTCACAAAAACAGCACACTAAAATGATACAGTAACCAATCACAGCCAAGCATTTTCCTGGTGGGAAATGTGGTCTCAAGGTCAACCGATCGGTCTATGAAATAAATCCAAAATAAAGATATTTATTAAGCGATTTTGGGGGATCTAACATCCCCAACACAAAACTTCTGGGAGCAAAGTATAACAATACTTACCTAACTAACATAATTGTTATCACAAAGAGGCGACTGAACTTACAATGATTATAAGATGAAGATGACTCTTTTAATGAGAATAATATGTTAATTAGTACTAGGTAAGATAACATAAGGATAAACTAGAACCCTACTGTGTTAGATTGATGCACACTTAATTGACAGTGCGCATCATCTTTACATACTTACTTTTAAAGGAGTTTTACATTCGCCTGTTTTTGAATTCAGTCGTATAGTTGTTCCACGAATTCTTTCCATCCCCATTCTAGTAGTTGCACCTTTAAAGCATGAACACTTTGTGAGATCAGTTTCATTAGGTGCAGAATTGATTGCATTCGAAATATCTTGAATGTATTCTATTTATTAGTCCAGAAAGAAAATAACATAAAACGAAATATTTATTAGAAATGTGACATTTTTTTAAACAGAAAGCAAAGTTATATATACCAACTGATGATTTAGATAAATTGAAGTTGGGATCTTTTGAGGATTCAAGTCTTTATGTATCAGTTCAGCAGTCATTGGGTATGGTATTTACTAAATCTTTAATTGTGCGTGAATTATTTATTTAAGTGTACAACAAAACATATGACATTCAGAGAACTATGAAAACTGGAATTACTGTTCATTAGTGAGTTTCAGCTATCAGTAAATACTTATGACAACCTTAAAACAGATTAATAGGATATTCATTCAATATCCTTGGGATAATTGTTGGTCGTCCTTACTATTATTGTCACATCCTTCAAATATTGTTTCCTATTTGACCTAACTGTACAAATACGCATTGTCTGTAACATTTTATGACCCGGACCCGGATCCCCAGTCCGGGATCCTGATTCTCTTCTGAACTCGGACCTCGTACTTTCCGGATGCTTGGAGAAAACAGGTTCTACTTCATATCAATTCTTCTTCCTTTACTCAATAGGGGTCTAGGACAATCAGATTAGAGTAGGTTATCATGTCACCAGATCCTCAATCCTCGCTCTTGTTTTCCAACTAAGGTAAACTCGTAATAGTCCAAGCGTATCAAATTGTCATGTTTATGTTCATGAGTAACACAGATAAAATGTATCAAGACGATGACCAAAAAATATGCTGAAAACCTCTTTATTAGTGACATGAAACAAAATAAATAATTGGAAAATCAATTCATTTACAAGTAATTAGCTATGAGCCACACTCTGACTATGCAGGCTACTGAAAAAACTTGGTTGCTCAAACAGAAGCAAGTGAAGTGGAATCCCAACCTGATACTTGACGGTCAAATATCAAACGTCTTAACTGCTATATCACCACTCTGAATGGTAGGATATAAAAATTTATGGGGCCTAATTTCATAGACAGGAAATTATTTACAAAGTTTTCAACTTCTTAACATCCAATGTTATGCTGTGCTTGGCATCAACAAATAGAATATACAGTACAACTCAGGTTGATAGTCATAAGACTTTTTAGATGCCGTTCATAGCAATCAAAAGTAAGCATTACTATCAGTATTCATTATTTAACTGATATCAATGGAAAAAAACTAAATATATTGAGATCTCGATAAAACTGCCACAGTAATATGGATATTCTAGGATAATTCTTATGTTTCATAATTCTATTAAAAACAATTCTGTTACTCACTCTACCTTGAGATATTAATGAGCCAAATTACTGATGCATATTAAAAAGACACAACTATTACGATACATTTAATAGAGCCAGACTAAATAAACTGATGACACGGTAGTTGTTATAACAGTGGAAACATATATTCCCGGATTCATTTACTGGTATTTCTTCTGGTTAGCTAACCTACGGTCAATGAATTCGGGAAGTAGGGATGGGTTTTAATATCTCATCTTAATTTCTTTAATCGAAATATACAAACCGTTATCGAAATCTCATCAAAATCATTTCACATTTGTACATAACCAAAATATACTGAGATGAGTGCTTTTTAAAAATAGTGGTTAGAAAAAATAAGTAAAACCCACTTCATTTTGTTATTAGACAAAACTGGATGTCTTACTTTTTTCATTTCTTTGTGCAAGAGCAGCTATAGCTAGTGACTGAGGTGCGTGATTTGGAACTGGTGGAGGTGTAGGAGATAGACTATTTTTCCATCCAGAAACCAGTTCCTTATGAGGAAGTGGAAGAGAGTTAGGAGAATAATTTACAGAATTGCTTGAATGTGAACTTAAACCAGAATCTCTGGCAGATGTACCAGTTTGTCCAAAATTTAAACAGTTCAAGTAGTGCTTTTTTGATTCAAGTGAGAATACTTCTGAGCATTTATCAGGTGTAGCATATTCTGTTTCTTTGTCAATTACAGCCGTATCAGAAAGACTACTAGTGCCACTGCTGCCGCCTATTTCTAGGTCATAATCAAGATGAATTGCAGGAAGAGATTTTCTTAAATTGTTACGGAATGATTTTGATATTTTTGATTCGGAAACATCAAACTCGGTGTCGAAATCATCAATTATTTCATTTCTTACAGTTGTGCGGTTCTTATTTAATGCAACTCCATGCAAATTATGAGTTTGAAGTCGATTTACATTGATAAGAGCCATTGCAGGAGGTACTGAGTCAGATTCGTCGCTACAGCAAACTGATGAACTTGACTTAAGTGACAAATTTTCTTTGTGCTTGAATTTTTCACCCTTAAAGAAAGAAATAAAACTATTAAACATTGCGATACTGTGCATTACAATTTCTAAATATAAATAATTCATTCACCAAGACAAACAGAAAGTTTTATCATAACGGTTAGTAACTTCAAGTCAAATTTTATCAGCACATTATTAAACAATAATCTTAGCTACATTTATCAGCAAATTTTTATGTTTGTTTTCTCTCTATAAAATATTTGGTTCGTAAAGGCATCTCCTTCACCAACCAAATTATGTTAAATCTTAGTATTCAGTAATATTACTTTTCGTCAGCTTTGCTGTTAGTGTGGTATTAAAAGTCTTGAGAAATAGAGAATCTATTTATCGCATCCTATTTGTTTTGCTTTAGTTAATGGAGGGAAGTAGTTGTAAGCGACACCTTTGTTTATATAATTTTATGACAATTTACAATACATATCAGAACCTTTATTCTGTTCTAAGTTCAGTCATAGTATACTCTCTTGAAGTCCTTTTTACTAACTGACATTCTCTCTGAAATCTAGATTCCAAAAAAGCTATAAAAGCCAGCACAATATCGATACGCTACAACTGAAATAGTAGATCAGATGCATAATAGTGAATTACAACAAGCATGAAAATCATTTCTGATACTTATCATGATCTAGCAAATGCTTACCTGTTTGGAATCCTTCCTAGCGATATTCAAATGATCTTTCTTTTCAGAATACATACTAAATCGAAGTCTGTCTTCAGAACAAGAGCAAGGAACACAAGCAGGACACATTTTGTTGGATAATTTTTTCAATTTCAAATAATTGATTGCGGAATGAGATACATGGAAAAATTGTCCAGATTTATAGTTTTTCTCCTCAGATCGACTACGTAACCTGGACGTAATATAGAGGTCACGTGAATAAGATGTGCTCTCTGAAGTGGTCGAAAGCGAACTTGGAGTACTTGTATAGCATTTGCAGTGATCCGACATAGTGTCTGAATTTTCCAAAAATTCATCACACCGTAGGCTAGTTGGATCTCCAGATCTATGGTACTGATCAAATAAACCGTCTTGAATAACAATCGAGTCCGTAGAGTATAAAGAAGGATTCATAGCATCCTGATTAACCACAAATATCTGGAAAGAAAAACCAGTTTGACCTGTGTAAAAGATATTGTCTGAATATTAAAAACGAAGTCAATTAGCCAGAGATCTTTATACAATTCATGGTTCATCAATATAAAAAATTATGTAGGTAGTAATATAATGTGTGAGAATGCAGATTTTAAGACGAAGAGGAGTTTGCTACCAAGTTGTTTATCTAAGAATAATCTTCATCCAGACAGCTTAACAAAACGTTTTCACAATCTTGTGATCTTATTATAACCATTTTTTTATATACGTCATTATTCTGAAAATGATAAATCAGGCAACATGTACTAAAGTATTTACTGATGAACGTACTGTAACCCTATTTAAATAGCCAGAGTCGATTAGTAACGATGAGAGCCTCACAAAAGAAAGAAAAAATTATTAACTGTTAGGAAAAAACTTGACGGTTCATATTGTAATTGCGGATCTCAAAGTGTTTAAATACTTAGAGACTTTCAAATAAGTCCTATTCCCGCCAACTACCTTAACTTCAGCAATTAGTTATTGCTCTTGGTATTTTTTGACCTGAACCAAACAACTTTTTCAATTACTACCGTCGCTTTAGCAAAGATCAATCTAATTTTGGTGATTTTTAGCCGATAATTCATATTTATCGTATTCTCATAAGAATCGTAGTAAAAGTTAGCCGACTGAACTTACTGTAGCCGACATGAATGGAGTGTAATAAACAACTACAAGCAATATAACCAAAGTGTGCTTTGAATTTATAATTTATCCATCTAAGCTTTTCTCTTACAATTTCACCTTAGTGTGTTAATGTGGTATGATGACTTGAACCAAAAAACATTTAGAAGATTCTGAGTTGCATCTGACTAACAGATTAACCAATTTAACTTTTGGTTGTTCCCTTTTAAAAAAAAACCTGACACAAACTAATGAAATCATAAAAATAACATCATGTTATAAGTTGCTAGTTCCTAAACCGTAAAGTACTGTACACTTCTTACTAAACTAGCTTGATAATAATAAATTCACTGCTTATGAGAAGTATTTCTGGAGTCACACTCCTTGACTACTTAGGTTTATTTTACAATCAGCTTTTGATTCCATTTTTGCTGGGTTACTAAGCATTAACCCCTTTATAAGAAATTCTGGTATGTAATATCCTAGGGAGCTCAATTTATCGGTTGAACGATATATCGATTCTTATATCTTGAAAGCCATAATATCTTCAGTGTTGAATGACGGATTATAAATGAAAAATAGTAAGTAAATAAGATTCTGTTGTCCATTTAGTTCGAGTCTGTGATTGTTTGAGGTGGAACAATGTTTCATCGAACGATAAATAAATTGCTGGTCTTACAGAAATAATCAGATAAAAGGCACGCTATCAAAAACTAAAATCAAAGTGAACAAAGAGTTTGAAATATGTACTTGCAATCAGTGAATGATATCCTAAAGAAAATATAATTCAAATGAAGCGACAACACAAAAAATATTGGAATTGAACGCCTTTAATTTGGTGTTTCAATATCCAATACCTTTTCCAATATCCAATATATTTTTCACGAGCTAGTGTAAACCAGTTTGATTTCTTCGGGCTCGATTCTTGTTCTTTCGGTACTGTTCCATGTGTTCGGTAATGTCCAACGAATGGAGGTCTAGCCACTCGACTGTCTAATTCTAGTCAGTCGGCAGTTAGTTGTGAGTTTGTATGTCTCGGGATTTGAATGAAACGTTTGTTTCAGGGCAGTAGGGTTTCTGGATACTAGCAGCCGTCACACTACCAAACCGGAGACCAGTTAGTTTCAATGTGGAGAGTAATAAGGGTAATAAGGATAAAATTCTAATGATAATATGAGTAAAATTTCAGAACTGAGTAATATATAGATGAATTTAGTTTATTGATTGGTTGTGAAGATTGTGAGAGAGGACAGAAGTGTAGGCAAGGGAGAGGAAACAGAGATAATAGGCGAGATAGATTAATTGAGTGATCTGAGGAGATGGCAATGGTAACAACTATCAGGTCTCAAGATATGCATCAGGCACAGCTTGTCCAAGAGGGAGATGATAGTCCGTATGTGAGTACGTGATTATCAAGTCTCTTCTTAAAGCAGTCCACTGAGGGGGCTGTAACTACCTCGGCTGGGAGAGCATTCCAAGTTGCGACTACTCGCAATGTGAAAGTGTGCACGAATATGAGTATTTGCTCTTTGATGTGCAATCTTTCGAGAATTGCCTCGAGGGGAGTGGTGGTGATGCATCGGTAAGATGCTCATATTGGGATGGTTTGGCGTGTTTAATATGGTGTACGCCATAATCAGTTCACCTCTGATTCTCCTGTAGCTCAGTGGGAATAATCCTAAGAGCTGGAGTCTATCGTCGTAGGGTTTATTTTTCAACCCTATCACCCATTTCGTTGCTTGTCTCTGCACTCGATTCAAGAGATTTATGTCTCTTTTAAGCAGAGGAGGTGCGATGGCGTTGTGAACCTCCAAGTGTGAGCGCGCGTACGTCTTAAACAGGGTTAAAAATAATTTCGGGGTGATAGCACCAAGCTGTCTTCGCATAAAGTGAAGAGTCGCATTTGCCTTGGCTGCATCCCCTACATAGTTTGGACTGATGTGGAGGCTTTCTGTGGTTATTAAACCAAGATCGCGCTCTGAGGAGACATTAGTGAGCGGACTTTCATTGAGAGCATAGGTCGTTTGCGTCATATGAGGCAGGTAATGCATGACGTGGCACTTCGATTGGTTGAGTTTTAAACCGTTTTTCACTGCCCATTTCTCAATAGACGTGAGGTCCTTTTGAAGCTCAGTCGAATCCTCTTTGCTTCCAATGGACCTCCAGTATCTTGATTTCTTTGCGCTTGATTCCTGTCCTTTCAATCCAGTTCCTGGTGTTCGGTAGTATCCAATGAATCGGGTTCTAGTCACTCGACTGCCTCCTCACTGTTCTATGAAAGGGACTTATTATTTCAAATGTCTGATTCTGGACAGTTGGCAGTTGTTTGTTTGTATGTCCCGTGATTTGAATGAAAAACTTTGTTTCAGGTCAGTAGGGTTGCTGGATACCAGCAGCTATGCCATTACCAGATCGCCTGAATCCCTCAGCGAGAGGCCAAATAAATTTGTATACATTACTTTTAAAATGTCGGGAATCAAATCACCATCGATATGTTACGAGGACGGGAAAATTGTTTCCGATTCCTGGGGTCTCGATGCTCTGTTCTTCATTGAATCTAGACTGCTTCAGAGAGATGTGACTGTACTGTTGGAATCCGTATACCATCAGAACTTCATCGGAAGCATCCTTCATCCTAATGGAAATATAGCCGAGTTGCTACATTGTAATGGCTTGGCTCACTGTATTGATTGGAATTTTAATTTGGTAAGCGTACCAGGTGCTGCTGAAGCCTACAAAGCAGCTGAAAGACTTACGAAAGAAAAGCGACTGCTACTGTTTGAAAATTATCAGCTTACGCGAACAAAGGAAGTACATGCAGGAAGTCTTCAAACAATTGTCCCAGGGAAATTATATATGAAGTTTGGAAATGGTGATAATATCTGAGACATTATA